TTATCCAGCGTGTCGCTCAGCTCAGCTATTGAATGAAGGTCCTAAAGACTGGAGAAAAAATAAAAATACCCTACAAAAAGTAAGGAACAAGATTCCCAGCAGGGAGCTTAGGTCCTAACTTCTTGACACTAGACAGAAAACTGAGCTGGCTCTAGCTGCTAGGGGGTTTAGCTACCTTCAGGGGCCGCCCCTAGGCTGAGTTTTTGTTTGTGCCTAGTGTCCTACTCCTGAAGGTAGCGCTATATACCCATTAGTAAGAGATTCAAGATCTCCACTGTGTCCTTCAATGAACAAAAGAGAAAGAAAAATGTTTGGATATAGATGTACTTTAAAGAATAAATACATTTTCATATAGTGTACGCTTATTCTTTTTTTTCCCCTATGCTACCAAACAGATCCCACCCTCCCCCTTCACAGATACATACTTACTGACATCCAAGACCCACATTCCCCTGTGCTTGTTGACATCCTCCTTCACATGTCTTTTCTCTCTCCTGGCCATGCCTGTGCAGTAGAAGCCAGTAGCAATCAATGGGTCTACTGTAGGGGCCCAGTCAAGGGAGAGATTACATATGGCATGAATACGCTAATGTATACCACCCCCGGAGGCCACGGCATCAGATCGAGGGGAAGGAGGGCGTAATCTGTTAGGTCAGGGATGGGGGGCAAAAAGGATAAGTGCACTTTGTTTTAAACCCCAATGTGGAAGGTACACCTAAGATATGGTGTGGATCCGTATAAAGGAAATGGAAAAGTGTGGATGTGGAAGAATTGTCATCAACTTGATAATTGGCACTCATTAGCTCATCTGTTTGTGAAGTAATGCACCCCTTTCTGGGGGGGGGGGGGGGTGTAAAATATAATAATTACAAACTATAAATAAATATATATGAGATTTTTAAATGCTACCAAATGAACACAGAATACAAAATGTATTCCAAGTGTATCAACATACTTGGGAAGTGTATAAAATATACAAGGATATAATTTTGACATAAATAAGATTAATGAAAATATAAACAGTTCTATGTAAAGGACAGAAATATGTGCCATATAAGCATCAATTTAAACAATAGGAATATCCCATGAAAAATACGACAGTATATTAGTCTTCCCATTTTCATGTAGGGCAAAGATTTTTTAAGGCAAAATTGCACTGAGGCATTCTTTATATTATACATGAATAAATCACAAAAGAAGTACTGTAAGAAGGAATGTATGTGACACAAGTTCACACCACTTGATGAGTGCTTGAGCAAAGTGTTAATCTTCAGCAGAAACTCCCACCTTGCACAAAATGACCCGTTTTTAGTCATGAGCTCAGAAATGCGAACTACCTGGATTAAATCTCACCAGTGTTGGCAACCTAATTTGGAAGGCTTGTATAAAAACAAGTGATTTATTTCTTCTTGAGATAGTTGCTCATCGTGTTTGGCTCTGCCCAGTGCCAAGTTTTGTATCTAAACGACGGGACAGCTGCACCACGTAAGCATTATACAGGAGATGAAAAATACGCTGGGGAAAATAATTCAAACATGAACTCAGGACTTGATGTACTGTTCTAAAATGAAGTTACAAATACAGACAATTACCTACAATTAGGACCAGCTAATGAGCAGTCTAGTACAAACCTCTCTGTATCTTGTAATATAGAAAAGGTATATGCTGTGGGAGCCCGCTGATGGGTGAAAAGGCTGAGCTGCTGGTTTGTGTTGGGCCACCCTACTAGTCAGGAGCTGACCTGAGTTTAGTTAGTTGATCAGTTAAGCAAATGTTTTGTTTGTTTTATGCCATGGATTTTCTCTACAATGCCCTCCTGCATTCTACTGTGTTTGCTTGCTGCCTTGATGAATAAAAGTGCAGGACAAGCTGCTTGGACTGTTCTTGGATGTCCCTGTCTTGTGCATGGTTTACCACTGCCAATACCAGTTGAAGTTGTCCCTGTTACAATATACAGTATATTTATTTCAACAAGTTAGGTAAGCAGCACTCCACACTATAGACCGACGCAATATATATTTATATATTTGCCCATACAAAATCAACTTTTTAAAAATTCATGATGGGTTATGTTATGTTATTCATCAAAATGAATCTTAGGGGCTCATTCACACCAGCTCCGTTGGGCTGTCTTGGGTAGTGTTTCTCTCCCCTTCCACCCCCTTGCCCATTCACAAGGCTGCTAGTATGCAAAGTGTTCTGTGAACGGAGGAGGGAGATTCTGTCATTCATCCTCCCATCCTCCATTGACAGAACACCTTACATTCTCTCAAATCAATACTAGGAGTTTTTTGAATGAGCATGAGGGGGGGAGAAAGGGTGGAAGGGGAGAGGGAGAGCGCAACAGACGAGGCAGTTAACCCATGCAGTGCCAGAAATTCACCACTGTTAGCAGGATACGACATCAATGAAGGGAATTTTTTTACATTAAGCAGCAGTTAACAAGTCATAGGATACACTTCATTAGAGGTAAACTAAAGGACTGTTGCTGTATCCCCCCAAAAAGTTTAACCTAAATTTCTAATTTAATAAAAAAAATTTTTTTAAATAACTGCACTATAAAATGTGCACTTGTCTTTTTGGTCCCTTTAGCTAACCTAATCAATCCCACCCTCCCATGCTCACATAAATTCTGAGTTCTCATGGGTCCAGCCCCTGTTGTTTGTTTAAATTCTACAGCAAAAGTCTCCCTCTCTTGGCCACGCCTGCACAGTACATCCCCATTCACTACTATGGGGCTCGTCTAGCTCCATCTCCCAGATGGGATATGGTCTCATAGATTTCGACTGATATATGCTTCACAGTCATGACCAGGAGGGGGAGACTCTCCTGACTTCTATAGGGTTCATCTACCTCTCTATGATGGCCCTATAGAAGTCCTGATGTAGTTTGCAGTCGTGGCCAGGAGCGGGAGACTTTCATGGTGAAAGTAAACAAATAATGAAAGTTGAACCCATTGGAACACGGTAAGTATGCATCTGAGCAGGGGGAGAGAGGGATTGATTAAGTCAGCTTGAAGGGGCCAAAATGACAAGTGCACTTTGTTTTAAAATACACCCATCCTTTAAGTTTTCAGCTTTTGGTTAAAGGAGTTCTAAAGTCCCAGCATATACTTGCTTAGTATAACATCAGCTTTGTAATAGGGATTTATACTAGAGTTGTTTTTGATCCTGCAAATCAAAGGTTACTTAATACATAAAAGGGATTTTTTTTCAAGTGCTGCCTTTTCTCTGCCCATCACGTTCATAAACTTCCTGGATTCCCAGTATGCTTAACATCTCTTTCCCTGCTGCCTGATGTGATGCAACCTCAATTTCTCAGGACTACATATGCCATCATGCATTGCTTCCAGCATGCAATAATAATGTTACATTGTTCTGATGCTGAATCGTAGTTTAGAAGGCCAGCTCTGTGAGAGTTGTGACAAAAGGAATTGTGTATTTATAGGCCTGAGTGAAATTGTGTCATTGTGCATTGAGGAAGTACATCCTATGGGCATCTTCAATAAATAGGTTTACAAACATGTAGGTTGATATGGTTTTTAGGAGTGGAAATTCAATACAGAAATACATATGTGTTGTTAATTTTTGACCAAAGATACCCTTTGAATAAAAGAATGTGAATAGAATATACATACACGTGAAAAAATGCATATATAATAAAATATTTGCATTTACAAGCTTCAAGACAAAAAACAAACATGATTTGAAGTAAAAACAAAGACCCTTAGCTGCGGTCAGTGTACTAAAACTAGCACAGTAGAAAGCTGGCCATACACTGTACGAATGTTGGCCAGTTCTTGATGAGCCAGCAAAAATGTGTTCAGTGGGTGGAATGCATTGATCAGAAAATCGAAAGAGCCGGTTGGAACATTTTCTAGCGAACAATGACAGAAGCCAATCAGCACACCCGCTGCTGTCAGAACACAATGGCCCAGTGGGGGATTCGTCCATCCACACTGCTTAGCGTGGAAGGAAGAATCTGTTATACATTGCCTGGACAAAGAAAAAGTCACCACCTGGATTTCAGGCAGTGTTATGATCTGAGGTTACATCAATTGGTCAGGTCTAGGCTCAGTAACATTATATCCCCAAAAATTGAAGTCAGCTGCCTACCTAAATATACTGAATGACCAGGTTTTTCCATCAATTATTTTTTTCTTCCCTGATGTCACATTGGGCATATTCCAAGATGACAATGCCAGAATTAATCCGGCTCAAATTGTGAAACAGTTGTCCATGGAGCATGAGACATCATTTTCACACATAGATTGGCCACCAGTCCAGACCTTAACCCCATTGAGAATCTTTGGGATGTTCTGGATAAGACTTTACACAGTGGCCCAACTCTCCCATCATCATTACAAGAGTTTGGTAAAAAATGAACACAACTCTGGATATAAATAAATGTTGTGACATTGCATAAGCTTATCTAAACCTTGCCATGACTAAAGCGTGCCATAATGAAAGCTAAAGGTGGTCCAACAAAATATTACATTTTTTGGTCAGGCAGTGTATTTGTTTTTTCATTCAACTCGCATGTTGAATTAAAAAAATATAGATATTTCCCAGGGTGGGTATGGGCAGCTTTATTTTTGACCACTAGAGGGAGGAAGTGACAAATCCAGAATGTGCAGGCAGCTTTCTCACACAGCCTCTCCCTGAGCCAGGCTTCATAAATTCCCCCATGTGTGCTTTTGCTTTAATAATAAAGCAGTACATGCGTCACATAAGCTTGTCAGATTCCACTATGTGCTGTATTATATATGCACATACTTAGAGTTTTTTGCACAGCTTCTCTTTAAACAAGCCATACAGTATGACAGGAATGACAGGTGTCTTGCTTTGCCACATGTTTTCAGTAGGCATATCCCCGAATACCATGTTGCACTAATGACATGACATTACGAGAAAATTCCCTGAGGCTGCATTCTGCCTGTTAAAGAGAGATGTCAGTCTGCAGCAGATTAACCGAACAAATCTTGGTTAAGGAATACATACTGCTGTCTCCGCATTTGTTCATTTTTCCTAGTAGTGGTTCCTTGATACTGTTCCTTCTTCAGGCGAATAATGCGCTGTAGCCTGGCCAGCTCACCTTCCGCTAGAAGAAATAATATGAAAGGTAATCAAGTGGAGAAAATGGAGAATGGTATGTTGCATCCATCTGTTTGATGTGTGTCAATCAAAGAATAATTCTCTTTAAAAAATAATTTCAGTTGTTTTAATAGCTCTCAGGAACCACAATGGTGACATATTACTGGTGACGTTCTCAGTTTCATCTCTAACACGACCATTAGGAAACCAAACAAGGGAGTCTCAATGTTCCTGCTGTACTGTAAATGAACACTCTCTTGTAAGAGAAGCCTATTGATGTTACCAGGGGTAATGGGGGAAATGATCAAAACTGGGGCAGAAAGAATCTGGGGTAGTTGCCCATATCAGTTTCTGTCTTCTGTTTGTTCAGTTAAGCTTTGAAAATGAAAGACAGAATCTGGAGCAGTTGCCCATGGTGACCAATCAGCTTCTGTCTGCTGATTGTAACGATATGTGTCATAAGTGGTTGTCATCTTTTAAAATAACTTTCTTGTTTCACCTTTTTATCCTTTGCTACATCTCAGTGCTGCTGTTCTCCTGCAGTCTCTCTGCAGCCACTACCTGTATACAGGCACTCTAGCGATGGCTGCGTGGCATTTCCCAGGGCGGGTTTTCTGATGGTGATAACAATGGACTATGCCTGTGTAATGCATGTAGAAATGGCCAGTTGCAGTCTACATAGGAAGCCTGTGTGACAGGATGGCAAGGCAGGAGCACAATTGAGAGGCAGTGTTGTCACCCTATAACAGGAAGTACCTAAAAAGAACCATCATGGCAGGATCACTACATATCATTTTATGAAAGCTGCGTATTTAAAAATATTATAATTAACTGTATGGTAAATATAAAATAAATAACTAAAATATAATATAAGCTTACAATTGTTAACATCTGCATGTAATTTCAGTAGTTGTGTTAAGTCTTTAGTCAGCAGCTTTTAGTAAAGGAATTCTTGGTGATCCTGCCATGAAGGTCCTTGTTCCAGCCCTTCCTGTCATGAGGTGACAACTATCTACCAATTGTGCACATGCATTTTGTCACATGCTCCCCCAACTATAGACAGCCATGCATCCATGGTCAACCTTGGTGCATGTAGACAGGAAGTGGCCGAAAACAGCTGATGGAGAACAGCAGCACTGAAATACAAAAAAGAATGAGAACAGTGTTTTATGATACACAGTGCTTTAGTGAACTAAATGTTACCTAGTTAGGGTAATGAGATGCCATGAGTACAGCTCCTCCATAGGGATGAACAGAGCCATAAAATGCATATGCAATTGGAAGAGAATAGTCACACGACCATATAATCTGTTACTAATGTTTATTAGTCTATCAATTTGAGAGAATTATAAAATCTACTAAATCTACAAAATGTGTCAAGTGAAACATAGTTCCTTCCACCTGCATGTTTTGTACATGTGATTTTGATCGTATGTACGAACATTATTAAGACACACATGTTGTACATGTACATACTATATGAACATACTGTATGTCTACTGATTTTATGGTTCTTTTAAACCAATACACTAATAAATATTGATATATTCTAAACCATTTATATGGTCGTGTGACTATTTTGCTATCTTCAAAATCCTACGGTAATAGGATTACCGTAGGATTTGACGCTACAGTGTAATCCCAAGTGTGGCTCGGGTTTACCGCTTTTGGTACTGAAAATTAACCCCGAGCCACACTCGGGATTACCGCCAGGAAGGCTAATCAAAGGACAACTGTATTTAAACCATGCACCTACGTTAGTACTTGGGTTTACATATACTTATAACAAATTTGACAGGAAGGGGAGACGTGGATCGGTCGCTGTGTTAAGTTTGATTGTCCGAATAGAAGGCCAAGTATGCATTGCAGTGGTCAGCTATAGTCAGCAGAGCTCTGTACTGAGGTACAGAGTTTCAGTTAGCAGAGATAGAGAAGGACGGCTGGACTTCAAACTGCATTAAATCACCTCATACAGCGTCCAGCCATCCTCTCTCTGGTTAGATGCGGTACAGCTGTCCTTAATCCCCTCCATCCGTTCTTCCTGTTCTCTCCTAATTGATACTCCATACATCATCACACGGAGATCTGCCTGTATGAGAATGTGCAGGAGCCTGAGCTCTGCAGCCCTGATCGAGTGATCACTTTCCTGGCTTGAATGCAAAAATTAAAGAAAAGCATTTTTTTTCTATTATTAAATATGCATTTCTTTAATTTTTGCAAAAGGTGAACTTAGCCTTTAAGGCAAATTACACATACTGTCACAGGTGACACTGCTAGCTACAGAAAAAGTTAGCCATAATCTGTAGTTTCGCCCCTGCAAGTACAATCTGCTGGAAGTAAGTGCTTGGACGAATCACCTCCCATGCGTGTTCGCATTGCATATTATGGCACACTTATCTAGTGCCCCCCTACGGCACTGTGCCGTCTTCCTTATCGCTCCACTGCAGCTTTTATCTTTTCCCCATCTTCTTCTGGGTTCAGGAGTCTTCAGCCATCTTAATTGGCTAGGCTGACAAAACGCCTGCACATGTGCATGGAAGGTCATTCATCCCAGCACTTAATTCCAACAGATTGTACACTAAACTGCATATCAGCATAAGCAGCTGTTAGTGGAAAATTTATAAAGAACAAGAGGAAAGATTTTATGGGAGAAGAGATCTACAGAGTCTCTTCTACGATAAATATCTGTCTGATTTTTACATTGTACGTTTAGTTCTGCATTAACCCTTCCGTATATAATTGATTGCAGTTTCTGTAAATGTAGTCATGTAATATTCATTATAAGTGAATGCCGTTTGCACAGGAAATTCCTATGCATCTCGGCTTCAACCAGTGGCAGGCATGCCATGCAAATTACATTTGCCCAGCAGGAGGCCTACTTCACACTGAACGTTTTGTAGCGCTTTTTCTGCCCTAAAAAAACGTTTTAAGAAAAATGCCCCCTCTGAGCTTTTTGTCGCAATAAGCAAAATGCCTGTCCCTGGAAAAAGTACATGAGCTTTTTTGGGGGGCATATTACAGCTCGTTCTGGCCCCATAGACTCAATAGGTAATGCTTGAAAATGCGTGTTTGGTGCGTTTTTGCCCACGTTTGCTCATATACATCAATGAGCTTCAATCTGCTCATAAAAACTTGCGATTGGATTTATGCGAAAACGCACAAAAATGTGCAAAGCCAAGTGTAGAAACGCGCAAAATTGCTTTCGCCTAAGTGTGGCCGAAGGCTGGACAGAAGATTTATAAATCAAACTCCTATTTGTTTTCATTATAAATGTTTTTCTTGATATTGGTGTTGATGGCACCAACCTAGGTGACACCCCATCTGAACACTTTTTTATATCCTTACCTCCTATACCTTGCAGTGCAATGTCTTCTCTTACTTTTCTAAGATGTTTATGTGTGGGAGTCCTTTACTTTCTACCCAAATGGCTTACCATTCCCAGCTCTGCTGATTTTAGAAGCGTATCATATAAGTTGTTCTGTGAACTCAAACATCTATTTTTTCTACTTGAAATATAGTGTGCAATCACCGGCAACTGTTGAAGCATCCAGTACAAAATGTCATTTCACTCTCCTCTACAAAGCTCTTCCCGTGTTTATTTGGGTTAAAGGTTCATTTGTGCCACAATAATAAAAGAGTGAGATGTTTGCAATGAACCATTATTTGAAATTGCAAGCTGGCTTTCTTGGACTATCTGTGGGTACTTTTCATTTATTTTAACAGGCAAGTGCAGTCGCTAACCTGGCCAAGCGCCAAGTTTACTAATGGAAAGCCCATTCTGTGGTTTGTTTATAATGACAATTTTTTGCTCCAAAATTCTTTTAGGTAATGAATAAGTGATGAAAGTTAACAAAAAAAATTACAAATATAACTCCAGCAATTTTTTTGTTTGTTTCTGCTTTAGTGTAGGGGTTGAGTTACATTTCTATGAGGTTTTCATTTCTGCCATTGACCCCACTGAGAAGATTGTTCCTCATTTGCTGTCCGAGTGACGCCCATAGTGGAAATTGGTAGTGAGGTGGTCCCCGGGACAGGAACACGGGACACAGACAACAGTAAAAACATTGTCAAGTTCTAACCTTTGCTTGCTGTACTAAAAATGTGTTTTCCTGACATCCATCATCATCAGCTGTTAGTGTGGAGATAGGTCATAAGAGGAAAATTATGGGGGGAAAAATGTATATATATATATATGTGTGTGTGTGTGTTTCTTTTTAAAAAACATACCCGTTCCTTCCATGTCCACATCACTGCTATCAGAGCGAATGCTGGCAGCTGATCTTCTCAAAGGCATTCTTCAATCACATTTAAGAAAGAAAAGAAACAATTAATATGGATGGTAATTGTAAATGTAATATTAATTCATTTTTCCTTATGTCCTATAGTGCATGTAGCAGTATTGTGCAGCATGTTTAAATACGCTGCAGCACATCACAACAGGCTGTAGAATAATAATAAAATGTTAAGTTAAGAAAATTAAATTTAAAAAAGCGTTGCAATGCATGTTAACAGTACAATGCAATGTTCTTTACAACACACACCTCTGTGTTTGTGTCTGTGTTATGCATCAAAGCACTTATGCTATTGTGTGAATGGGCCCTTTAGGTATAATGTAAGATCTGCGTTTCATTCATTAATTCCATACATATAAATGTACCTCTACTGAAACTATGTGATCATTTATTATGGCAGTGCAAAGTTGAATGGCTGAATGTTGTACACTAATCCACAGCAAGGTTTATAGGAATCCTAAAACTGGGTGAAATGAGAGGGCATTTCTGAACTCTTTCTGAAACTGCTAGTTGCCTGGTCTGGCTGGCTGACCCTCTAACTTCAATACTTTGAGTTTATGACCCTGAACAAGCATGCAGCAAGTGATGACCCTGAACAAGCATGCTGCAAGTGATGACCCTGAACAAGCATGCATCAAGTGATGATTGTTCTGGGTCCTAAAAAGTGAGTCCTAAATCAAGGCTGATAAATTAGCACCACAGCCAGGAAACTTTCATTTTCAGACAAAGGTCAGTAATGGCACAGGAGCGCTGGAGTTGCTCGACAATCCACAGACAGTGCCGACAGTGCCGCACCTAGGAAATAATAGAGATCGTGTGAGGACTCTCATGATAGGAAGTTGTGCATTGGACATACTGTAAATATGTCACATAATCACATGACAAGGGGCAATGTATCTCTAAAGATGCCCAGAGCAACTGAGCAGGAACTCTTACTGGTAAGTATGATAAGATGTGTAT